TAAATTTACCCATCTCCATTAATCTATGCATCACCATGAGGTTATGGCCTACTGGCAAAGTTTCAGTGGGCTCCGGCAGATGTGTCTGTTCTCCTGCAGCAGCTACAGGGCTTCTCCCTGACTCTGCCTACTCTCTCCTCCTCTATCTGCTTGGAAATCCCACCTTGCCCTATTCTGCTAAGCCATTGGCTGAAACAGCAGCTTTATTCATTAACCAATAAAAGCCACACATATACAGAAGGACTTCCCATACCAAGGTACCAACTTAATTTTTTGCACATGGATACTAATTTTCCTAGTATGTTTATAGAAATAATTTTCTGACCTGCTGGCACCCTTGTTGAAGATCATGACCATACATGCCAAGCTTTTCTCTGAGATCCCATTTATCCGTGTCTGTCTTTATGTCTGTGCTTTATTATTTTGATTACTGCAGTTTTGTAGTAAATTTTGAAATGAGGAATTATGAATTCTTGAGGTTTGTTCTTTAAAGGTTTTGGCTATTTAGGGTTATTCGAAATTTCATATTTTATCATGACCTTTTTTATTTCTGCAAAAACCTTGAGATTTTGGTAGAGTTTACATTGAATGTATAGATTGCTGTGGGCAATATTAACATTTTAACAATTCTGATTCTAGTCCATGAATATATGTGTTTCCTTTTTCTTTTCCTTTTTTTTAAAATTGTCTTCATTTCTTTTCAGTAGTGTTTTCACTGTACAAGCTTTCTGTCTTCTTGACTAATTTTGAAATTTTTTTTGTGATGCAGTTGAAAATGTAACTAAGATCATTAAAATTTAAAAGCATTTATTTTTCTTGAATTAATTCTAGAAGGTAATTTACGTTTGTCTTATTGTTGAGTTTGTATCTTGAAACTCTTTGTGGTTTCCGTTTTCCATTTGATAGCTCTCAGTGTTGCTTTTAGCATGTTCAGGCCACTCAGAGTCAGCAGTCTGTGAAGTAAGTGGGACAGTGATGTAATCTGAGACTCGGTAGACATTTTAAATGTCCTTATGCTCTGGACAGTTGGGGTCTTACTCCTTGTTTGGGTGGTAGAAGAAAACCCTTTGCCTTTCAACCCCTAGACCCAGAGGGGCCACATTAGCAGGATCAGTATTAGGATTAGTGAAGAGACTGAGTTCATTTTTCTTTTTATAAACTTGTTGTTTATGATTTCTTTTTTATTTATCCTGGATGGGTTTTAACCTTTCTCTTTAGATTGATACCTTTGTGGGGCTGGATTCCACTTGATTTTCTTTATAGGTCTTTAAAATTTCTTTTCTCCTTTTTTAGGTCTTTTAACTTCCAGTTGAGATTCTTACTAAAGTTTGCCTGTTATAAAAATATTATGTAGTCTCAGAAAATGTAGACCTTGGAAAGAAAATGGGATTTAAAAAAATTTCTCACCACCCAGGAAGGGTCACAGTTGTTAAAACAATAGTGTAGGAGAGTTTAGTTTTGGCCCTCCTTCATTTAGAACATAAAATCAGTAGAGAACTCAGGTAAACTAAACTTTCCCACAGTTCTCTATTTGTTTATGTAAAGTAGCTATGCCATATTGATATGTTATGAAAATAAAAATACAGCAACATTGAATGTCCATGGTTGATCCTTGAAACCTTTTATCAAAGGAAGTCACATTTTAAGTTAATTTTTGTTATTTATTAACTTGCTCTTATTTTTGATGAATGTTTGCTTAGTTATTTTATGAAGTCTTTATGTTGGGCTAAGTTTTATTTCCTTTAGAAAAAAACAGATACTACTTACTACTAAGGTTTAGGGTTCAGAGAATATGTTTTAGATAAAAAGATTGCAACGCAGGTCAACTTTACTACTCTGCCACTCTAGCTAGCATAGTCCATCAAATTTTATTCACTCTGTGATTGCTTTAAGATATATTATTGGAAGAAATAAAGTTGCGTATACTAGTACATGCCTGCATTCCTTGCACTTAGGGAACTGAGGCAGGAGGATTCTTCCAAGTTGGAGTCAAGGATGAGTGACAACCCAAGCTATACCCTATCTTCAAAATAAAAGCCAAATAAAAAGATATGCTATTTTTATTCTGGACAAAAGAAGAAAATACTAATTAAATTTTGCCAAGAATCCTGAGTATTTCATCCAAATTGCTATTTTGTATCTATTATCTCTGTGAATATATGAAAATTTAAATTTGACTCCTCTGAATTACATTTGAATGATCATTATTTGATGTTTGTGTTTTCCATGTACTGTCATCCTCTAATCTTTAAAAACATTAGTAATGAGGCATTGTGGTCAATGCGCTGGCTGGCTGGGGTGATTGGTTGGCTTTTTGATGGGATCTTGCTGCAGTATTCTAGGCTGGCCTGACAATGCCACACTGAGGTCCAGCATTTCTTAACAAGCACTCCAAAATCCTCACTAAGATCTTGGAAGATAATGATTCTCGTTTTGCAGGTGATAATGCTGATGTGTAGCACAAATTCTAATTGTTCTTTAAAAAAAAATCTTGGCGGTGAAAGCTGAGAGATCCGAGAAGCAGAGCAACCAGTCACTCTACCTGTGCTCATACTAAAGGGGCAATCCTGTCCTCAGACTGCATGAGCTCCTGTCTCCTCCTGCCTTATATTCCCCTCTCTGCCAAGCCAGATCCTTACTGTCTCCACCTCCCGAGTACGGGGATTAAAGGTGGCAGCCACCTTTGCCCTGTTGTTTCTCTTTTAAACTGGATTAATTTTGTATAGCCCTGCGTGGCCTTGAACTCAGTCTCCCTAGAGGTGAGATTAAAGGTGTGTGCCACCACTGCCTGAACTCTAGTGTCTTAGATCTTTAGGCAGACTTTATTTGCTAAAACACAAACAAAAGATCACCACTCTGATGCTCTCTTGACCGTTCCACATAATAGAAAAGTTTTAATTATGTAGGACTCACATTGCTTCTTCATGAGATCCTTAAAAAAGTTTAGAGTCTGAGAGACCAAGGAATTGTAATTGTTTGACACTATAAGGACACATGAATTTGTGATGCAGGAATGGCTACATGGTAACACAGTCCTGGCCAACAGCCATTATAAAATGACACTGACAAAAGCATCTCCCGCTTCATCAATTTCAGAGAGTGTGTGTGTTCTATTTCTGTGAGGGGACACCATGGCCAGGGAAACACTTAATAAGGAAAACATTTAATTGGGGCTGACTTAACAGATTCAGAGGTTTAATTCATTATCATCATGGTAGAAAACATGGTGGGAAACGTGGCTGCACACAGGCAGACATGGTGCTGGAGAAGGAGCTGTGAGTTTTATATCTGGATCCACAGGCAGCAGGAAGAGAGCAACACTGGGCCTGTCTTAGAGCATTTGAAAATCTTAAAGCTGACCCCCAGTGACAGACTTCCTCCAGCAATGCCACACCGCCTAATAATGCCACTCCCTATGAACCTATGGGGGTGGTTTTCATTTAGACCACCACTCCTGTTTGTTTATATTCTCTGTTGAAGGGGAGGTAATAAAATATCTGGTGTTCAAAGGATTAAATAACATAGTAATAATTATAGCTAATACTTTTGAATTCTTACTATATATGTCAGCTATAGAAAATGCTTGTATGCATTTTAAGCCTAGTTAATATGTATTATCTAGTTCTCACAAACTTGCAAGGTGTAGGTAAGCATCAATGGTAATGGAACTAAAACAGGGATTTTTAAAAAGTTGCTGTAAGCAACACAGCTTGGAAGTGACATCGCAGTTTGTGAGCCCTTAGCAGTTGAACCAGTGCTGGGCAGCGAGTGCTGTCCTCCTGGCATGGAAAGCACAGAAGCACTAGGCCTTTGCATAGCAAGTGCGATTTATTTATTTTTTGAGACAGTCTTGCTTTGTAGCTCTGACTGGCTTGGAATTAACTGGGTAGACTGAACTGGCCTCAAACTAGTTGTTTCTCCTATCTTTGCCTTCCAACTGCTAGAATTGCAGATGAGAACTACCTCACCCAGCCTGCATAATTAATATTTATGTTTAAGTTACTTTTTAAAAATAGTGTTTAAGAGAATGAGAAACCACAGGCTGGGAGAACATAAGCTAATGGTTTGAAAACGCTTAAAACTCAATATTTAGAAATTACAAAAACCAAAACAAAACATGAACAGCTGCCTCGCCAAAGAGGATATATAGAGATGTCCCACATATGTCTAAAGGGAATTATGATTGAAACACACCCATAAGTCTTTTGGTAATTACACAGGCAGCACTGGGATGTGGAGCGGTATTCTCATTCATTGCTAGTAGGGATGCAAAACGACGCAGCCACTTTGGAATCCAGTGTGGCAGTTTTCTGCAAAACTCAGCCAACTGTTCCAGCAGCTATGCTGTTTGGTCTTTACTCAATAAGTTGAAAACTATCTATACTAATGTCTTTACCCACATGGGTAATTCATAGTTTCCAAACTTGGAAACAGCATATATCATTAATTAGGTGAAAGAGTAAACAAACTGGTACATCCAGAGTGGAAGAGTATTTAGTACTGAAAAGAAGTGAGCTCTCAAACCCTGAGAAGAGCTACTGGAACATTAAATATATATAACTAAATAAAAGCCAATCTGAAAAGTCTGTAATTCTATGTTATTCTGGAAAAGGTTAAAAGAAAAGGTATCAAAAGATAAGCGGTTGTCAGGGGAGATAGAGAAGAATAGCTGGGTACACAGTATTTTTAGGGCAATAAAACCTATCTGTATGATCAAATGGTGGCTATATTTCATTACACATTTGTTAGATCCCTTAGAATGTGAAGCACCAGGACTGAACCATAATGTAAGCTGTGCGTAGAAGTGGTAGTGGTATGTTAATGTAGGCTCTTTGGTTTCAGCAAATGTGCCAGGCTGGTGTAGACTGTGAGGTGGAGCTCTGGGGGATCTTTGTGCTTCTGCTTAATATTGTTTTGTACCTAAACATTTTCTTTTTTAAAAAAAAATTAAAAGTAAGCATTTAAAGTGTGACAGACATTTCTGATACTTTTATTTTCAGGCCCAGAATAAAGAGACCAATGTTTTAGCTGCTGCAAAGGTGATTGACACCAAATCTGAAGAAGAACTTGAAGATTATATGGTTGAGATCGACATATTAGCATCTTGTGATCACCCAAACATAGTCAAGCTTCTAGATGCCTTCTATTATGAGAACAATCTTTGGGTACGTACTTTTTGTTCCTTTACAGGTAGCCGAAATGAGTTAATTGTCCTAAAAGGGTCGTGAAAACATATTTTGTACGTTACCTCTTCTACTTAGTTACTTGCAAACTTGATTGAGGGTTGATCTGCTAATGAGAGTCAGTAACAAGATAACGATTCTCAGTTCATGGATGTTCAGCTTTAGTTTCAGATTATACCATTTCATACCATTGTTTGACACTGGATCTAGGTGGGAGAGATAAATTTCTAAAATATGTCTGTGTTTATAATTTCAATAATTTAAGTATTAAATATTTTTGAAGGATTATTTTTCTTTCTTTCTTTCTTTTGTTTTTTTTTCTTCTTGGGTTTTTTTTTAATAAATAAATAAATATTTATTTATTTATTTATTTATTTATTTATTTATTTATTTATTATGTATACAATACTCCGTCTGTGTGGTTGCCTGAAGGCCAGAAGAGGGCGGCAGACCTCTTTACAGATGGTTGTGAGCCACCATGTGGTTGCTGGGAATTGAACTCAGGACCTTTGGAAGAGCAGGCTATGCTCTTAACCACTAAGCCATCTCTCCAGCCCTCTTCTTGGGTTTTTGAGACGGTTTCTCTGTCAAGCCCTGACTGGCTTAGAACTTACTCTGTGAACCAGGCTTGCCTGAAACCCAGAGACCACCTGTCCTGCCTCCTGAGTGCTAAGATTAAAGGAGTGTGCCACCATTGCCCACTGACGGTTCTTTTTTCTGTGTTATTTATAATTTTTATCCTAAAGTTTTTATAAATCATGCAATACTATAAACTGTGAGAATATTAAATTTCACATTAGGCTCAGCCTTCCTGCATGATGAAATGGTTAAAATTGTATACATTTTGTTTATTTTTAAGAAAATAGGTATAAATAGGTAAAGCAATAATATTTTAATATTTACTTGAACTAGCAGTTTTATCAAGAGTTTTTTTATAAATTAAAAAATAGTGATTTATGTGTGTTTTATCTGTATGTATATCTGTATACCATGTGCATTCCTGGTTCCTGTGGAGGCTGGAAGAGGATATCAGATCTGAGACTGGAGTTACAGATGGGTGTGAACTTCCATGTGGGTCCTGGGAATTGAACCTGGGTCCTCTGGAAGAGCAGTCAGTGAGTGCTTTTAACTGTTGCGTGGTCTCTCCAGCCTTTCAAGAAAGCTGACAGCGTCTTATAAAATAGAGTTTAAATGTTTTTCTTAAAATAATGACTATCTGGCTTGAAATCAAAAGTCTGTTCTTTGAGATGCAGCTGCTGCCAGTTAGGACCTTGGTTGAGTAAGCTCATTCTCAAGTCTTTGTTTCTCTGAAGGATGAAAAAAGAATTAGCTCCCAAATTATTTTTCACTTGAAAATAAATTGTAATCAGCAAACACTTATAAAAATATTGTAGTAGCCTGGTGTGGTGATACACACCTTAATTGAAGCACTCAGGAGGCAGAGGCAGGTGGATTTCAGTGAGTTTGAGGCCAGTTTGATCTGCATAGTGAGTTCCAGAACAGCCAGTGGTATATAGAGATAGTCTGTCTCGAAAAGTAAAAACAAAAACAAAACAAAAAAATTTTTAGCAAGAGGGAAGATGTATAGAATTACACTACTTATTAAAATATTATTTTTAAAAGTATAGTTATTATTGGTCTAATGTCTCTTAAAATAATTGTTCAGGGCTCTAGCCTGAATTATAAGAAAAACTCCTCGACATTAACAGATATGCCTTTACTTTGACACTGTTGCAAAATAAAAATTTGGTTTACTATGAGGTACAGTTTAATGGGAGACATAGATATAAATAGAATAATCATAGTACAAAATTATAACTAGTAAAGTGAAGAAGGATGGGTACATGTTGGTGATAATTGAGTTTGAATCTGTGTGTTATGTTGCTTGCCTGTCTGCCTGCTTTCTCCCTTTTCTCTCTCTCTCTCTTTTTTAAATTAAAATGGCTGGAGAGGTAGCTCAGTGCTTAAAAGCATGTACTGCTCTTGCCGACGACCCAAGTTTGGTTCTAAACACCACATTAGGTAATAATGTGCTTGTAACTGTAGCTCCTGGTGACCTGACACTCTCTTCTGGCCTTCAAGAGCACTTGCACTCATGTGCACATACCACTGCAGAAGTACATGAACATTAGCATAAATAAAAATAAAATGAGTCTTTAAAATAAGCCTGCTTTTTTTTAAAGTTTTTTTTTTATTGAAAGTTAAACAATATATTTGATCACTTAACATTGCATCAGCATTTGGGAGATGGAGGCAGGAGGATTGCAGATTTGAGTCTGTCCTATTCTATAGGAAAACCTGACTCAAAACAAAATGAAGAAAAGGAAAAGGGGAAATAGTATGTACTTCTATCATACTGTGCGTGTGCAGAAGAACATCACTTAAGACTTGTAACTGACGGCAGGGAATCCTTCTTGTTTAGCATGACACTGTTCCTACCTAGAGCCTAGATAAACCAGTAGCTTTTCATTTATCTGTCTTGCTAAGTTTCTGACAGTTGGTGTAATTACAGATACATGTTTTTGTTTATGTGCAGATCCTCATTGAATTTTGTGCAGGGGGAGCAGTAGATGCTGTGATGCTTGGTAAGTACCTCTGTTCCTATGTTTGCTTCTTAGATTGTCTCAGATAGAAGGATTGTAGAAGGAGCTGCTTGTTCATCCCGCCCCCCCCCCAGAACTGAAATAACCACACAGAAACTGTATTAATTAAGTCACTCTTGGCCCATTAGCTCTAACTTCTTATTTGCTAACTCTTGCATCTTAATTTAACCCATTGTCATTAATCTGTGTATCGCCACGTGACTGTGGCTTACTGGCAAGATTCTTACCGGCGTCCATCTTAGGCGGAGGATCCATGGTGTCTCTCCGCCTCTTTTCTTCCTTCCAGTGTTCAATTCTGCCTTCCCCACCTACCTAAGTTCTGCCCTATCAGGCCAAGGCAGTTTCTTTATTCATTAACCAATAGAAGCAATAGAAGACAGAAGGACCTCCCACACCAACGGATCTCAACTATATGTATACATATGTAATATTAGAGTCCAGTGCATTAAGAAATCAATTTAATTGTATTTTAGATAAGTATAGTTCTGAGATGTAATGTTGAATATTCTATGTCAAGAAATTAATCTTTGTAGAAATTCAGCTCTTTTACAGTAAATGATCTTTGATAAGATCACAGTGGTAGACTGCACTGAAAATATTTAATTAGCTTTATGTTTTCATTGCATAAAAATACATACATGTATATATTTTTCACTTTCTCCTTATAGAACTTGAGAGACCGTTAACTGAGTCCCAAATCCAAGTAGTTTGCAAGCAGACTTTAGAAGCGTTGAGCTACTTACATGACAATAAAATCATCCACAGAGATCTAAAAGCTGGCAATATTCTTTTTACCTTAGATGGAGACATTAAGTTGGGTAAGTTTTTCAAACATTTGAATTTGTGCTCTGGGATTTACTGTGGAATGTAGTGACTTGATGCTGTTTTGGCCTACACAGACATATAAAACAGGGAGAATTACTCCCAGCTGCACTTGTAAACACTTCAGTGGTTACACATCCCCCAGTTCTTAGGATTCCTAAGTATATGCACCTAATGACACACAGAGGAAGTAAAAGATGGTGTGTTTTTATTTTCAGAAGCAGAAACTTGGCAAAGCACTAGTTAGTGTTTCCTTCTGTAAGTTTTTGAACATGGATTTAACATTTGTAAATGCTTTGTATTTGGCTATAATAAAACACTAAACTCAATTTTATTTTAATGACAACATATCTAGTAGGTTTTTTTTGTTCCACGTTCTTCGACCCAGAGCCTTGAACTTGAAGCAAGTGTTCTTATCACTGAAACTAAAACCCTACCCTCAGTTTCTTATTTTATTGATATGCTTATTAAGCCAACAAGTAACCTTAGGTTTGAAAGTAAAATAAGTTTAAGGACTAGCATTTAATTTTGTCTTTTATACCAAAGGAATGAATGATGTATGTCATAAAAAGAATTAGATGTAAATTTTAGACTGAGGTTAGTTAAGTTCACACATACAAGTAGAAGATACAACCTTTTAAAAAGTTTTTCTAAAAAGAGACAATTAAAAAAAATTGAACAGTGATGCCTAAATTTATGTTTTTTGAAAAAGTAAAGTTATTCAAAAGCGGTATTGATTTCAGTGATTTTTAACCATCGTATTTTACATTGTTATAACATAATGGGACATCAAAATGGAATGTGCTAAATTTTATCTCTTACTGTACCATAAAGAGACATGGAAATCCACCAGAAAAGCTGTATAAAATTTTTAGACAAGAGCTTTGAAGTCATTTCTTAAGTGAAGAAGTTAGACTCAGCCAGGTACCCTACAAATCCTTTTACATACACAGTTAATTTCAGTCCCTGCCCTTCCCCTTCCCCACACTGTGTTGACCCTCTCCTCCACCCCCCCAAAGGGTTTCTCTGTGCAGCTTTAGAGCCTGTCCTGGAACTTGCTCTATAGATAACACTGGCCTCAAACTCAGAGAGATCTGCCTGTCTCCCAAGTGCTGGGATTAAAGGCGTGCGCCCTCCACCCAGCTTTGTGTTGACTTTTAAACTAATCTGTGTTTCTTTATGGTTCGGTTATCCCATATTTATCTTTAAAGTTTAAATTTGCTCATATATAAATTTTGGTTTTTCTTTGCCATCTCTATAAATTACACATTTCTTCTCTATTCCTCTGTTTACATGGTAGCACACGTTCTCTTTGAATTAACATTGTTCCAACCAAGAGAGCAGTATTTGATTGTTGGGAGGCCAAAAAAAAAAAAAAAAATCATAATGATTTGTGACCTCTCCAAAGTCCATAACATGCAAACAGATGCATGTGGTATTAAAATTTTCAGTGACTGGGATGGTTAGAAAAACAGTTCTAAAAAGACTTTGAGGTGGTAGGAATGAAATGCAGAACTTGGATCTGGCCGCTAGACCTGTGGCCTTTCCTTTGGCTGCACTTGCTGAATATGTGGTCATGATTTTAGTTTCTTTCTGTATTTCCTTCAGTTAGTAGATGAAGCAAAGGCTTGGTAATGCTTGATGAGTCTCAGGTTTGATGCCAAATGAGAGCAGGTGGTTGTGTATTGTTCTATTAGCAGAGTGTGAGACTTGCCTTCTGCTTTGGTTAGGGTTGTTATTGTTGCTGTTGTTTACACTACTGGGTATTGAGTTCAGCGTCTCACATGTACCAGGAAAGTATCCTACCAAGACCAGCATCACAAGCTTATTTGTTTTTGAAATCTAGATTTATTCTTTAATTGAGGCTGCAAAATGAATTATACCATTTTTTCTTTTTTTTTTTGTTTTTTTGTTTTTTTGTTTTTCGAGACAGGGTTTCTCTGTGGCTTTGGAGCCTGTCCTGGAACTAGCTCTGTAGACCAGGCTGGTCTCGAACTTCATTTGTTATTTTTGATAGCTTTATAATCAATTAACTCTTCATTTATTACTATAAGTTAACAATTTTATAAGAAGAGATTTTCTTAGTTGTTTGATTATTTGGGACAAAAGCAAAAGAAAGTGTTTTATTTAGTTTTTAAGATAATTAGTTGGTTCTGAGTTCTAAGCTAAAATGGTGGGCTTACCCATTGATAAAGTTACAGTGCTGCTGTTCTTTTTAACTTAAATCAGAAACCATAAGGCTTCTCACTTTTTCCTTTGTAATATAATTAAGGTTTTATTTTATTTTAGTTAATCTCACTATTTAGCCTAGAGTAGCTTGAAACTCCAGAGTTTCCTGCCTTTTAGCCTCCCACATATTGGGGTTGCAGGTGTACACCACTGTACTCAGCTCTTGTAGTCTAATTTTTGAGGATGCTGAGGAGATAGAATGTTGTCATAAAGGCTACTTTGCTGTGATTTCTGGTTTTTTTTCACACTATAGGAAAATACCTCTATTGAGTTAATTGCAGCATACAATGTTTGGCATTTATTTTGAAGTGTATATAAGATTTTAATTTAAAGTGACAGTTTTTTTGTCACTGAGGATTTGTCATTTTTACTGTAATTTAAGATGTATCTAGATGGTGGTCAGTGTATTTGTGATAAAATATTGGACACTTTTTTGAAAGATGGTAGAAGGATGATGGTTAAAATTAGCATGGTAGGGGCTGGAGAGATGGCTCAGTGAGTGAAGTGCCTGCTGAAATGGGGCCCTGATTTTGGTTCCCAAGAACCTGTGTAAAAGCTGGGCTTGGTAATGGATGCTTGTCACCCTAGTGCTGGCTTGCCAGAGACAAGAGGAATTCTGTTGCTCCCTAGCTAGCTAGTCTTGCCAACATGGTAAGCTCCAAGTTCACTAAGACGTAATGTCTCAAAAAGTTAAGAGCAGTAGAGGAAGACACCTGACATTGACCTCTGAACTCTATGAGCATATAGTCACACACCCCTGTCATGCACACATAAACACATGTATGTACTACACAGTACACACAAACATTAAAAAATATTAGAATGACCAAGAAATCATTTCTCTTTCTGATGTGCTTAACTTTTAATAAGGTTGACCTTACTAAAGACTTGAAATGCTTCTTCCACTCCATTAAACACAATTTGCCGTGCTTAAAAGCTGTCATTAATGTTATTGTATGATTATTTATTTCAAGCGGATTTTGGAGTATCGGCTAAAAACACCAGGACAATTCAAAGGAGGGATTCCTTTATTGGCACTCCATATTGGTAGGTATTCATTTTTATGAATCTATACTATTAGTTGGGTCTGCAGTTATTACTTTGTCCACACATAGTCATTATACTGACTGTAGTTTACAATAACTGTTAATTAAACATCTTAACTTTTCATTTTTCTGTCTTCATAGGATGGCTCCTGAAGTAGTCATGTGTGAGACATCAAAGGACAGACCTTATGACTATAAAGCTGACGTTTGGTCCCTGGGTATTACTTTAATAGAAATGGCTGAGATAGAGCCACCTCACCATGAGTTAAATCCAATGCGAGTATTGCTAAAAATAGCAAAATCTGAGCCCCCAACATTAGCACAGCCGTCAAAATGGTAAGCTCTTTTAACAAAGTTTTTAAAGAACCAAAGCTTGATATTTTTTTGTTTGTTTTGTTTTGTTTTGTTTACAGGGTTTCTCTGTAGCTTTGGAGCCTGTCCTGGAACTAGCTCTTAGACCAGGCTGGCCTTGAACTCACAGAAATCTGCCTGCCTCTGCCTCCCAAGTGCTGGGATTAAAGGCGTAGGGCACCATTGCCCAGCTTGATGTTCTGTTCTTTTAGTTTGCTAAGGGTAAGTTTAAGTTTGGAGATGAGGCATGAAGACTGAATGAGGAAACTGAGGTAGGTGTGTTCCCAAGATTTAAGGACCTGGGGAGGTGGCTCAGTGATTAAGAGCACTGGCACCTCTACTGCTTGTGAGGACCAGGGTTCAGTTACCAGCACCCACATGATGACTCACAGCTGGCCATACTTCTGGTCTCTTGGGAGCTGATGCCCTCTTCTGGCCTCTGTGAGTACTAGGCACACACTTGATATATAAATGGCAGGTGCTCACATCTGTACATAAAGTACAAGTACAAGACTTGAGGATCATGGAAATCATTGTAAATTATTTTCCCTGTTTAGACAGTGTGAGTGAACTGGGTCTGCGTGGAGAAGACGTTTTCTGTACTATAAACAATCAGGCCATGTTCAGTTGATGTGTATTTGTGGAACTTAGTGTAACAATTGTTGTAACATTTTGATAACTTGTAAAGATATGGCTGCCTCTCATTGATTACCTGCTGTGGAATAATCATGCACACTGTATGAGTATATGTTGCTATGGTTGGTTTAATAAACAAGCTGACTGGCCAATAGCTGAACAGGATAAAGTTAGGCGGGAAAGCCAAACTGAGAATGGTGGGATGAAGGAGGGCAGAGTCAGAAGAGTTGCCACCCCGATGGAGAACAAGTCAGACATACAAAATGGGATAGTGGTAAAATCCATGAACTTTGGGGCAACACATAGATTAATAGAAATGGGTTGAGTTGTAAGAGCTAGTTAATTAGTAATAACCCTGAGTTATTGACCAATCATTTATAATTTATATTAAGCCTCCAAGTCAGTTGTTTGTGAAGCAGTTGCCAGTTATTTGGGAGCAAGCGGTCAGGACAGGAAAACTCTGCCTCCAATCAGCTGTGTGCCTTATTACATGTATGTCTAACATGTATTTACAGAATACTTTTCATAAAATCTTACTCTCATTAGTTCTCTTATCATTATACTAAATCAATACTAATTTATACTAAGCATAATGAAGCTAAACATAATCTTCTTTTGGCGGGAGGGAGGGTTTTCGAGACAGGGTTTCTCTGTGTAGCTTTGGACTGTGTCCTGGAACTCACTCTGTAGACCAGGCTGGCCTCAAATTTACAGATATCTGCCTGCCTCTGCCTCCTGAGAGCTGGGATTAAAGGTGTACGCTACCACTGCCTAGCTACTAAGCATGATCTATTAAAGAATTTAGTTTGATTTTTTTAATAATTATAAAGTAAAATAAAATGCCATTGTTGACATTTTATTCTTCAGGTCTTCAAATTTTAAGGACTTTTTAAAGAAGTGCTTGGAAAAGAATGTAGATGCCCGGTGGACCACAGCTCAGCTATTACAGGTAAGATGAGGATAATGTGCCACCAGCTGGTCAGATTGTTTTAACATTGTGTCTAAAAGAATACCTCTGCACATGTGCACTGCACATACGTGAACACTACACATGCATGCACACAAATGATATGAGGTGGTTAGATAAATTTGATTTTACTTTAAAGCAGGGTCTGTTCCTTATATTTGAAATAAAAATGTGTCAAATAATATTATAGATAAATAAAATAACAAATCTTAGGGCAGTTGCTGTAAGGATGTGTGTTGTGTAATGCCAGTATGGTAGTATTTTAAGCTGACGTGTTTATCTAAGGAGAGGTTGTGGGAAAAATTGCCTTTCTGTGTTCAACAAGTATATCTCTATGTCCCTAAAACACTTTTCCCAGTATTTCCTTACTCCTGTGGTTGAAGATCTTAGCCTATAACAGACTGTTAGTCAGGGTTCTCTAGAGAAACCAAATTAATAGAACTAATCTCTGTATATAAACAGCTTTTGTTAGAGTGGTCTGACTATTCCAGCAATGGCTGTCTCCTGATGGCAAGTCCAAGAATCAAGTAGTTGTTCAGTCCACAAGGCTGGGTGTCTCAGCTGTCTTCAGTGTGTGCTAGAATCCCCCAGAAGTAGGCTTTAATGTTAGTGAAGGAATGGGCCTGGGGTGACTTTCAGAAGTTGGTTTTCTCCTTCCACTATGTGGGTGCTGACTGAACTCAGGTCTTTAGTTTGGCAGCAAGCACCTTTACCCACAGAGCCATCTCATTGGCCTCTTTTAGTTATTTTTAATGAAGTGATGCTTAAACTTACAACTTGCTTTAAATTTTAATTTAAAAATTATTTATGAAACTTTTCAAACATACAGAAAAACCAAATTGTAATTTCTACTCAGCCATAATAAGTCGCTTTAATTTTTGACATATTCCTTCAAATTACTAAAATGAGACAAAATATAGCGTCTTCAAGAGGGCTCAGTAAAGGGACCTGCAAACAAGCCTGGTAAACTGAGTTTGATCTCCACGATCCACAGAATAGAGAAAACTGGCTGCCAAAGTCTGACTCCACTTGCACACTCACACACACTAAATAACTAAAAGCTAAATTGTACAAAACAAAATAAAATCCAGTTCGAATAGTCTTTACTTTTGCTCACTTTCCTCTCCCTTTTTCTTGTGTATGTTTTTCATATCCACAATTCATTTTTTGACACAGAAGGATCTACTTATGTGTTCAAATTTACAAGCATTTCAGTTGTCATTGAACATGCTTTTTTTGTGTGATTAACAGCATCCCTTTGTTACTGTTGATTCCAACAAACCAGTTCGAGAATTGATTGCTGAGGCAAAGGCTGAAGTAACAGAAGAAGTTGAAGATGGCAAAGAGGAAGATGATGATGAGGAAACAGAAAATGCTCTGGTTAGTGTCACTGAGGGTGTTTCCTTAGTAGAGTTTTAGAGATAGGTTTGAGATGTGGTTGTACATGTGTCCGAGGGGAACAAATGAGGCGGTACAAAACCTTCAGCTTTAGAAGTGAAGTTGGTAACTAAGTTTCTCTTGTCACCTATTTTCATTCTCTTTATTATTGAAGACTGTCACTTTTTAAAGTTACTTACATAATTTCAAGTTTTTTAGAATATAGCAATTAAATTTTACACATGTGAGTATAGATATATAAAGCCATTTTGATGATCATCTTGTGGTCATGTTTTAATATTAATGATGTATAAAATCTTTTTTAGCCAATACCTGCAAATAAACGTGCCTCCTCTGACCTCAGTATTGCCAGCTCTGAAGAAGATAAACTTTCACAGAATGCTTGTATTTTGGAATCTGTATCAGAAAGAATAGAACACAGTACTCCTGGTGATAAATTTAGCAGCAGAGTTGTTGATGAAAGACCTGCCACTGAGGAACCTGAGAAGGCTGTGGAGGGTGTTAATGAGCATGCAGGTGATTCTACCATAGAGACGATGGCTGAACTCAATGATCAGACAGTAGGAATTCATGAGAATGGGAGAGAGAAGAGACCCAAGCTGGAAAATCTACCTGACACAGAAGACCAACAAACTGTGGGTGTTAATTCAATTTGTGGAGGAAATGAGGGTGATAGAGTAACTTCAGAAGTTAATACTAACCATCTGAAACCAAAGGACGACAGGAGTAAAGAAAACCAGGAGATACCTGAGAATAAACTTACACAGCCTGAAGTAATTAAAGATAGTCAAACAATGGACTTGGTGTCTCAAGAGACTGGAGAAACAGAGGCTGATTTTCAGGCCGTTGACAATGCAGTTGGGTTGACAGAAGACACCCGAGAGAAACGGGGAGGAGATGATAAAGCTCAAAGAGTTGTAGTCAGCAAGGTAGGGACAAACGAGGCACTAGATGCTGCTGAGACGGCTGCTGAAGGCGGCAACCAGGATGTACAGAGTGCTGATGGGAAGGGCGTAGTGGAAGGAGCCCCCAAGTCAGCAGGGAAGCCCACCGAGGGCCCTGAGGTTGATGGTGCTAAGGAAGAGCCTTCTGTTCAAGAAAGAGTTGAGGAGAAGGAGCTAGGTCAACAGTCCGAAGTGTCAGACACCACACAGGCAGCCATTGAGGAACCAGGGACAGTTGAGGTTGAGCAAGTCAGTGAGTCAGGTAGCACTGAGGAGAGGAGTGCCTTGACTGGTGGTGCTGAGGAACCTGCTCTCGGAAGTGAAGCTGAGGCTGCTGCTACTGAGGTAGAGTTGGAGAGAAAAGAAACTGCGCAGGAAGTGCTGGTTAAAACAGATCCTCAAGCCCCTGCAACCTCGCAGCCCAACGAGCCTCATCCTGTCCTAATACCTAGTATCAATATTAACTCTGAAAACACAGAAAATAAAGGAGAAATAAATGCTTTCCCAAAAACTGAAACCATACTGTCACACGAGCCTGACAATGAAAAGGAAAATGACACTGACTCAGGGACTGGGTCCACTGTGGAGAACAGCAGCAGTGACTTGAATTTGTCCATCTCCAGCTTCCTAAGCAAAACGAAAGACAGTGGGTCAATGTCTCTACAAGTAAGTGTGCCTGGGGCCTTGCTTGGATTTTGCTTTGCCATTTTGGTAATTTCTAGTTCATTGCTATCTTAAAACACTATTAAATCTGTGTAATATTAACCATATGAATTCTTTTGGGATCATTAGGTAATCAAAAAGAACTGGAGAGAGAGATTCTGGGAATTATCTTTAAAGATTTTTTGATAGTGCCTACTCATTTTTGCAAATATGGGTACATGGGTAGATAAACAGGACAGGATAGTTTCTTGGTCTCATTTAGTGTTTCTTGCACATATCTGGATGCAATCTTAGCAAGCATTACTGCTATCCCAAAGAACGAGAAACTGAAAGAATTGTCTCCTTTTGAAAAGTGTTTCAAGGTATGAGTAATCCTTAACCACTGGCTCCTGTAGATGTCCACCTTTGTTTCTTTATTCCTAGTAATTAATACTGCCATGATGGGGAAATCAAACCCCAAAATATCACCCTGCACTTGGAGCCATTAGAGCATAATTCTCAAATCTTGGGTACTTAGAGTCACATGGGCAGTTTTGTAGAAACCTAGGAGACTCCTGCGGGTCAGTAATGTAGTAAAAGGTAGTATTTTTTTTAATTATATTTTATTTATTACTTTGAAAGTTTATGTGTGGGGACGCATGTGTGCCATAGCAAGCGTCTGGAGGTTAGAGGCAACTTGTGGGAGTGAGTTCCTTTCTTCCATGGTAAGTGCTTCTGTGACAGCTAAGGGAATCTTAATTGTAGATACCTTATTGTAGAAGCTGAAGAAATTTGTGAAGTTTGTAGGTTAAGGAAGGTATATATATATATATATACACACACATATATTTAAAGCATGTCAGTGTTAGACTTTAGAGAAATGCTAGGGAAGCAGCCATGGTTCGGGTTTGGGCGAACGTGAGGACCCTGGTGCTGGAGGATGGGGAAGTAAGGGGATGCTCACAGGTGCCAGAGCAAACTTGAATTCTAACACATTTTTAATTTAGTGCCTTTTCTTGCATTTCCTATTTTCTGTACTCCTTTTCTCTTTTTCCTTGGTCCCCTCCTCTTCCCTGTGTTCCCTTCCCCTTCATCCTCCCCTTCTTCTTTCACACTTTTCTCTCCCCCATTCCCTTCCTTACTTCCCAGAGTCTAGTTGTAGAGTCCCCATACTTCTGAGTGCTGGGCTCCCTTGTTTTTTTGCACCTCCACCCTGTCCCCCAGTAAACCAAGTAATTGTCTCCCTATTTAATCTGTTTACTGGTATAAAGCATAGTGGTGAGAACCCACAACAGTAAAAGATGAAGAGAAGCTTAATAGTAAAAGTCATCTATGGAATTTTATTACTGATGTACCTAATTATTAGTGTCACAAAGGTTGTGTATGCTCATGGCCAGAATGCCCAATTTCACTTTGAAAAGCTGTTTGGTTTTTTTTTTTTTTTTCACCTGCAAAGTTGCGTTCTCGGCGTTAGCCTATGATATAACTAATGTACAGATGACTCCTGCTGCTTTATATGTGCAGTCCTGATGACTGTCCAGGCATTTTTATTTTTAAAGAGGAAAATGTCTTCCACATATAGTATACAAAACCTAACCCAAATGAAATCTCATTCAGGAAACAAGAAGACAGAAGAAAACATTGAAGAAAACACGCAAATTTATTGTTGATGGTGTAGAAGTGAGTGTAACAACGTCAAAGATAGTTACAGATAGTGACTCCAAAACTGAGGAATTGCGGTTTCTCAGGTGAGTAGAAAAGCTGTGTAATTATCATGAGTTTAATTGAGTTTATTGCTGTTTCTGAAAATTATGTAGAATAGAGAAACAAGAGTAAATTCTTGGTTAATTTTAGATTATTTGAAAATTTTGTTTTTAAAGTTTAAAATCTTATGGCTAAAGCTTATTTAAAAGTATTACTCCAGAGTATAATTTGCTTCTTTTTGTTATACTTTGTCAGGCGTCAGGAACTTCGAGAGCTGAGATTTCTTCAGAAAGAAGAGCAGAGGGCCCAGCAACAGCTCAATGGGAAACTGCAGCAGCAGCGAGAGCAGATTTTCAGGCGCTTTGAGCAAGAAATGATGGTGAAGTCTTTGATCTTGTGTTATTTTGTCAATAAATAAAATCTAGTGTTTTAGAAACAGTCCTAGAGGGCTGAAGAGATGGCTTAGAGGTTAAGAGCACTGGCTGCTCTTCCAGAGGTCCTGAGTTCAATTCCCAGCAACCACATGGTGGCTCACAGCCATCTGTAGTGAGATCTGGCGCCCTCTTCTGTTCAGTAGGCATACATGGAGGCAGAATGTTTTATACATAATAAAGAGATGAATCTTTAAAAAAGAAAGAAAGAAACAGCCCTGGAGTAGGCTATTAAATTTGCTCTCTGATGATAAGATTTTTCATGGTTTTGTGGTCTATTACTGTAGCCACAGTTTCTGGGTGTTTTGGGTGCTTCTTACAAGCAAAAACTTGTTGAAAGGGATCTCCAATCCCAGTCTTATTACCGATTTTATAGTATACCACGTTTCATTTGAAATCTGTCATGAGAAGTTAGTATTTGGAGACTGGTAGATTGTTTACCAGGTTTTTAGATATTTCTGTCACTGAAAGCTGCTTCTGTGTTCGAGTTTCATCTTTCAACTTACAATATTAAGAGTTTTTTTTTAAATATTATGATTAAAATATTACCTAATTTCCCTTTTTCCCTTTCTTCTTTCCAGGTCCTCCTCCCATGCACCCTTCTCCCCCTTTATATTCATTGTTGATTGAGGTTTCTGTCCTGCCTGGTTCCCAAAGAAATCACACAGAGGTCTACATTAATTATAAACTGATTGGCCTAGTATCTCAGGCTTCTTATTAATTCTTATAACTTATGTTAGCTTATAATTCTTGTCTGTGGTAGCCACGTGACTTGGTACCTTTTTCGGCGAGGCAGTCATATCTTGCTTGCTCTGTGTCTGGCTTTCTCTCTCTCTCTGGGTGACGACTGCAAACTGAAACTTCCCTCCTCCTAGAATTCTCCTTGCCTCACTTCTACTGCCTGCCTGGTTGCCCCACCTATACTTTCTGCCTGGCTTACTGGCCAGTCAGCATTTATGTAAAATACAAGTGACAGGGTACAGACTATTGTCCCACAGCAATTTATGGCCTCACTTAATTTTTCTTTAATTGCTGATTTGTGTGTGTATTCCTAAATATATAAATACAGCATGTTCAGTTTGTATAATGTTGCTTATATGTATATGATTTTAGGTCTAACTATTTAGTATAGATAACTAATTGGAGGGGTTATCCCTGGGAGAGACTGTTTCTCCCTCTCTCAGCATTTCTTCATTGCCTGTAGTTCTTTGTTTAGGGTTCTTTGTTTAGGGTTGGGGCCCTATGAGATTTCCCCTTCCATGTTAGCATTATCTATTGATGTTGTGGGCCTTCAGGAATTGTTTTGGCAACTGTATTGTTGAGACTTTGTGGGTGTAGTTTTCCCAACATTTCTGCAAGACTCAGTCTCACAGCAGACATCTTAGTCCTCTGGATTTTACCATCTTTCTGCCCCTCTTCTGCAGTGTTCTCTGAGCCTTAGGTGGAGGAGTTGTGTTGTAGATGTCTCACTTGGGGCTGGGATCACATGATTCCTTATTCTCTGCATTTTAATTAATTGTTCTTTTCTGTAGCGGTCTCCATCTGTTGCAAAGAGATTTTTGTTTGTGTGTTTGTTGTTGCTGAGGGGTGAGAGCTAAAGTTACATGTAGGTATAAATATAAATATTTAGAATGTAACCTGGAATTATGCTAGTTTTGTAAAGTGATGGTTGTAGGTCCTCCAAGATCCATGACTAAGTAGGTTGTCCAAGTTTCTAGAATTAGGCATGATTTTTCTCTTGTTGAGTGAGTCTTAAATCCAATTATAGAGTTGTTGTTTACCACCAAAATATGAGTGCCACTGTGGTTATTTTGCCATGCTGGTTGTTGTGGTTCATAGGTGTCATAGCTTGATAGGACAAGGAATAAGCTTGCATGGACCCTTCTGGTACTATGAAAGTTAGTCTCTTAGGGAGGAGACTTTCAGTTAGATCCAGCTTGGATTTTCTTGGTCTTCAACAGCAGGAGCTCATCTTCAGTCTCTAGGAGGCAACCAAGGGCAACAGCAATAACCTATAATGTTTTGGGAGTCTCTTGGCCTCCCCTTACCAACAGCTTATCAGGGGGTTTCTGAGACCTGGTATTGGGGGTTTTTGCTAGATTGTCTGTTACTTTTGCGGCAAACTTTGTCAACCCAGGTGGGAAAATTTCTTTTAGACTATATATGTATATACATAGGTTTAGATGTATTATATGTGTAAATAGGTAATAATGATTTCTTACAACTTTTTGAGACATTCTTACTGTTATCCTCCCTCTTCTGTGTTGACCTTTCTCCCACCTCCCAATTCTTCCTCAGCCCCATTTCTCCCATTTCCTGTTCCAATTACATTTACACTGCTATTCTCCTCTCTGTTACATCTTTCCTTTTCCCATGGTCCCTTACTTTCCTGGCTTTCACTCAAATCTGAAGATTTGAAGTTAAAAAGCCATAATGAAATAGAAAAGAAAAAAAAAAAACATTTTGTGTTTGTTTTTCTGGGACTGGGTTAACTCACTCCTACAGTATTTTCTATTTCCATCCATTTTCCTGCAAATTCTATGATTTCACTTTCTTTATAGCTGTATAGTATTCTGTAGTGTATATGTATCACATTTTCATTATTCATTTCTCAGCTGAAGGACATTTAGGTTGGTTCCATTTCCTAGCAGTTGTGAGTAGAGCAGCAATGAACGTGGCTGAGCAAGTATTTGTGGGTAGGCTCTATCAAGTGGAGTGGTGGATCTGAGTCCTCTGGGTGATTTATTGTAGCTTTTTGAGGATTCTCCACACTTATTTCCATAGTAGCTGCAGTAGTTTGCAGTCCCATCCACAGTGAATGAGGGTTTCCTTTTCCTTCATATCCCTTCCAGCATTTGTTGCCAGTTATTCCATTGGTCTTTTCCATTCTGATTGTGGTAAGATGAAATATCTCAAAATTGTTTTGAATTGCATTCTCTAATTGCTAGGGCTGATGAACATTTTTTGAAATATTTTAGCTATTTTTTTTTTTGAGAACTCTCTGTTTGGTCTCAGGCTCTCATTTGAATGGGTTGTTTGTTATTTTAACTCTTTTCTTTTGAGTTCTTTATATATTCTGTATATTAATCCTCTGTCAAAGTTAGAACTGGCAAGGATTCTTCCCATTCCATGGGCTGCTTCTTCAGCTGATTGATTGTTTCTTTAGCTGTTAAGAGGTTTTTTAGTTTTATGAAATCCCACTTGTCAATTGTTGGCCTTAATTTGTGGGCAAATGGGGTCCTTCTCAGAAAGTCCTTCCCCATACCGTCTCTCCAGAACATACTGCCTGTGTTTTCTAGATTCTGAAGTTACCAGGTCATCTAGAACAGTTGTTTCCAAGCCTGACTGTTGGAGGAGGCTGCTTGTTTTGTTCCCAGCTGCTCAGCCCCAAAATAATCACATAGAACCTATATTATTTAAATCATTGCTTGGCCCATTATCTCTAGCTTCTTATTGGCTCTTACATCTTAATTTAACCCATCTCCATTAATCTCTGCATTACCACAAGGTCATGGCTTACCAGCAAAGTTTCAGTGCATCTGTCTCCTGTGACAGGGCCATGGCTTCTCTCTTTTATTCCACCTCCTTTCAGTTTAGTTTTCCCCACCTACCTCTATTTCTTGCGCAGGCCCAAGACAGTTTCTTTATTAACTAATGGTATTCACAGCATACAGAGGGGAATCCCACATCACCTGACTGAATGTTAGAACTTGTTGGCGGCTTTTCACAGGTTACTTTCTTCACTGGCTTTTGCGGTTAAGTTTGAGGCCTTCAGTTTTCACTTATGTCCACTGTTGGGAAGGGAATTTAGGAATGTGTTACAAAATTTAAGTTGAATATCTAGCTTAAAGTATGTTAGAAAAAAGATAATTTAAAATAATATTGAAGTTTAAATTATAATCCTTTGTTTGCAGTTGTGTAATGCAAGTGTTGAGGACTGTTGTATGCGTTGTGTGGCGTTGTTGATTTTGTGTTCAGTCACTACCACAGGTTCCCAAGGAAACAGAGAGGGATGCTCTCACTGACTGCTTTTGCATTCTTTTCATTCTGTTTTCCAGAATTTTAGAAATTGTGTCTTTGCCCTCCATAGATTTATCTGAAATGTTTCCCTTTTCAAATTCTTTTATTTTTGAGGGTTTGTTGTTGTTGTTTTGAGACAGTGTCTCCCTGATAGTCTCCCTCTATACATTCCAGCCTCCATTTCTCAGGTGGTAGAATTACAGGCATGTGCTGTTGTTATACCTAGCTTTAACTTCTTTCTTTCCTTCCTTTCATACTTTATAATATGTATTTCTATATTCAAAATTACATAATTACTTGACTATTTGATGAATTATCATAGTAATAGACTGCATTGTTTTACAGAGTAAGAAGCGACAATATGACCAAGAAATTGAGAATCTAGAGAAGCAGCAGAAACAGACAATTGAACGATTAGAACAAGAGCATACAAACCGCTTGAGAGATGAAGCCAAACGAATCAAAGGAGAGCAAGAGAAGGAGCTGTCCAAATTCCAGAATATGCTAAGAAACCGCAAGAAGGAGGTAAATGTAGCTACAGTTGTTAATTATCGCAGATGTTTTTAAAATACAAATTGAAGACTGTCTGAGGAATCAGGAATAATAGCTAGTAACTGAATAGCACTCATTCATTCATGCCTTTGTTCATTATTCCAAACAGTGATAGGCTGGCAGTTAGTGACTTCAGATATTATCCTCATTTTACTGCCAAGAAAACAGGGAATAAAAGAGGTTTCAGTGGCCTATCTCCCTTAACTTTGAGCCAAATCTTCAAATAAAATCCAAGCTGTATTTCATTCTGTCATTTACTTCTTATTAATGAACTATTTAGGGCTTTATTTAGAAGTACTTTTTCAAGAGAACTTAACATCATTGGTATTTACTAGTAGCAACAAGAATTATTATTTATGAATTACTTGATGTTTGAATTTTTCTCAGATTTATTCATTTTCTTAGACATTTTGCCAAGCAGGAATTGAATGGCTTGATATTCAAAATAGCACAAGCCATGTGATTATAAAAAGGTTTTGGCTTTTCTGCGCTGCTTCCATGTTGCTATAGAGCTGATTGTCATCATCTCGTAAAGAGGCTTCCCATATGTTGTCCCTTTGTACCTAGTGTAAAATAAAATACATCCAAGCAATTCTCAGTGATAATTTACAGCTTGTTCTTATCTTCAGTGCAGGAGAAGGAGTTACATTTTCAGAAAATAAATAAACAACCCCAGGGGAAAAAATAATTATGATCAGTTCTATTAGGATTGGAAGAAAATATCTCAGCCAGATTGGGAAATGTAGTTTCACTTTTGTTACATATTTCAGTTACCATTATTTTAGCATTTGAGTTTAGTATTTAATTAGGAAGAAAACAGAATATCATATTATTGAATCTTAAGGATGTGTTCAGGTAGGACTGAACAATAAAAGCAAGTACTTGATGTTTTCCTTAGGTCAGATGTGCATACTGGTGTGTAGCTAGCTTCATTTCCTATAGCCACCATTTCTAGAGGGTTGTTTTTATTGTCATTATGTCTTTTATAGAGTTGCTTCATATACTATGATAAAGATCTTCATCAATTTTTTAAAAAATTCTGGGTCATTTGTTGAGAATCTAATCTTTGTATTAGATTAAATTAAAAGATTTAATTCTAGATGAATAAGTCTGTAGTTACTGTTTTGAATTTTATCTAGTTACGTTTGAGATAATGATGTGTTTGTATTGAATAATCTTATTGTGTATTTTTTCCTTACTGCTAAACTTCTTGCATTTGGGGAGTTTCTTGCTTTTACTGGTGATTTGGTTTCATGAGGAGTTACTGATGGGAACTAAGGACATTGTAAATCAAAATCAGTCTCTCTCTTGGGTGCCAGTGGCATGTGGTGATTTGGAATCCGGGCTCTTTTGGTGCTTTTACTTGTATACACATGCTTGTTTTTCAGATCTGGACTATAGATCTTTTGGTGGGTGAAGGTCATATTTAGACTTTTGGTTAAAAAAAAGGAATTTAAAGATATACTTCATTTAAAAACATACTTTGATGTAAGAAATCATAGTTTACTAAACTTTAAAGAGTGCTTTACATTACTGATTTGAATGTTGTCCAGCTTGGCTTCAATTTTCACCAAAGAGAATATTACCCAATCCTATAGAAGGTCATCAGATATATTCATTTTTGTCACACCATATATAAAATGGCATGCTTTATGAAAAAAGTTTAGTGTTTATTTATTTTTCTCTTGTCCATTTGAAGTCCCACTTCCCTTCCCTTTCCTCCCCTGTTGTCATGAAGTGACTCATCTGGAACTGTTCCTTTGGTGTCGTCAAGTCAGTTGTAAAGTTTGCACTTTATAAATGGAGTTAGCTTTTTATGTGTTTAGCTTTTCAAAGACTATCGATAGGTGTGTCTGTAATTTTTGACCCCTCAAGAAGGCAGTTGAATGCTCTGAGCACTCCTTCACTGATTGGTACGTGGGGACAGCCAAGCAATGAGTGAGCCTTTGCATGCTGTGTTTCCCTTTCTGCTCTGTCTCTTCATTCTTTTCCACCAACTAACGCTTGTGCTAATGCATGGTGAAAGGAATCTTAACAACTTTAATTTTGACTTGTAGCTTTCTGCTCATATATTCATATGCTTTCTGTGGAGAAAGTATTATTTCCCCACCTCCTGCATGCTCATACACTTAGGTTATGAATGAAGTGGAGAAAGCACCCAAAGAACTGAGAAAAGAGTTTATGAAACGCAGGAAAGAGGAGCTTGCACAAAGCCAGCATGCTCAGGTAACAGCAGCAGCGTAATGCTACTAAAACCAGAAAGCTGCCTTTTCTCTTGGCTCAGGAAGCCATGGTTGAAAGAGGAGATTATAATTGTAATTATTATTTAATGTTAAACTTTTCCCCATCTGTAGATACCCAGGATCTTTGTTTTGTTTTGTTTTTAAATAATGTTGAATTTATACTTGATGACATTTAAATTGATAATAATGAAAGTAGATGAAATGTTTAGAAAGTTGATTCCAGATAAAAGAAACAAACGTCTTAATGTAATGGCTACTGTTATCTGATTTTTATCATGATGGAAGGCTGTGCTTTTGGTTTTTGTCTTTTTTTTTTTTTTTTTCCAAGACCGGGTTTCTCTGTTTAGCTTTAGAGCTTGTCCTGGAACCTGTTCTGTAGACCAGACTGGCCTTGAACTCACAGAGATCCTCCTGTCTCTGCCTCCTGAGTGCTGGGATTAAAGGCGAGCGCCACCACCACCACCTGACTGGAAGCCCATGTTTTTAAGAAGTGGTGCCAGTGCTTGCTGGGAGACCGTTAGGGCAGAGTTGGGGGTAGATATATAAGTTTGTGCTTAGAAAAAGAATGCCTATTAAGAAACCATTTAGAATAAAAATGGTAAATTTTATTATTCAATGGTAGATCATACATTTAATTACTGTTTTTAGCCGGGCGGTGGTTAGCTACAGAGAAAACCCTGTCTCGAAAAACCAAAAAAAAAAAAAAAAAAAAAATTTATTAATTACTGTTTTTAGGTTTTTCGGGACAAGGTTTCTCTGTGTAGCTTTGGAGCTTGTCCTGGAACTTGCGCTGTAGGTCAGGCTGGTCTCGAACTCACAGAGATCCGCCTGTCTTTATCTCCTACATGCTGGGATTAAAGGCCACTACCATCTGGCATCATTTAGTTACTTTTAAGATCAAAAACATAATCAACTTCAAAGACAAATTTTTCATATATTCATTTTTTTATTTAGAATCCAACAGCTAAATGAACAGAATATTTTTACAAGAAGAATGAATGAACTAGATAAATGAATATTTTAACAGAATTTTCCAGTTACTGCAATTGTCCTTTTACTGTGGTTTTTATGTAATAACAAAAAAATGATTCCTAAACTTTTAGGCTTTATAGGTCCTAAAAAGAAACAGAAGTAACAAAAATTCATTAGGGACCATGGCATTTACTGCAACTGAAGTGTGTGTGTTTGTGTGTATGTGCACGCGTGCAGTAAATATATTTTAAAACTGTTTGCCTATTGTTATTTCAGAGCTGATAACATTTTAGTATGAAAAGAAGGAAACTGATCTAGAATTTCCAGTTTTAATTCATTCCAGTTTAATTGAATAAAATTAGTATTTTTCTTGCTGTAAGGCACTGAGACATTGTGTCTTGTCCTGGTGTGGGAATGACTAGTTGAAGGATATGGTGACAGACAGAGCATTTGCTGTGTGGCTATCTCTTTTTCTGTTGCTCCACCATATCACAGCTCAGTCTCACACTGGGCATCGCCCCTGTCTTAGCAGTGTGGGAACAAGCACAGAAAGGGAAATGTAAAATCAGAATTGTTGCCCAGACAGTTTCAGCTTCACGTTCAGATACTGGATTGCCAGACAGCATACCATGCTGCCTCGTGTCAAGACTGCCCACTCTGCCTGGTCTGGATGCTCATCATCTGGCCTACCGTTCATTGTGAACAAGTGAAAGGGAGTCCTTGCCGGCTCCACCTTTGCTTTTGGTTAGTTTAGATTTCAAACTAGATACTAAGTAATAGCAATATAGTTTTGCCTTAAGGACTATAACGGATGGTTTTTAGTTTCAAAAGTATATTAAACTTAAGAGTTGAGAATAAGAATTTATTGTTGAATGAATTGAGTGATCCTATACTATAAATTTAGTTTACTCTTTTTTTTTTTAAATGACTCCATGTAATTTGGAGGAGTTTTTTGTTTTCCCATTAAAGTTAAAATTACTGGTAAATTCTTTCTGTAAATTTAGATGTCGCACTTCAAAAGTATTTATTCCTTTGATAAACTTACTAAAATTTGATAATTTTACAGTTTGTCTAGACTGTGTAGCCATGGAGCTGGTACATATTTGACACCTAGTCCTCAGGCTTTCAGACTGTCTCCCTAGGAGCTCTTATTCCAGGCAAGGGCTATGGGGCTGTGCGGAAAAGAGGACTTTTTCTTTTCCTCCTTGTTCCACCTTTCCCCTCCTCTCTTTTTCTTCCCTTTTTTCCTCTCTCCTTCCTTCCCTTTGTTTCTTTCATATGTCATTTGTCCATGGTTTGTTAGAGGGCAGCATTTTCTGAGAGTTTTTCCTCCTTCCAAACACGTGGGGCTTAAGCAGGTGTTGTACCCACTCAAGTCTCCTTGCAGTCTAAAATCTGTTTGTCTATCTATCATCTGTCCCTCCGTTCATACATCCATACATCCATCCTTCCATCCATCCATCATGGATAGGCTTTTAAGAAGGAGTTCCACTGATTTAGAAGTAAGTAACACATTAGAATTTGGAAACCACTGACCGAATTCTCACCTTTTGTTCTGCAGATGGGCAATAGGTCCCTCTGTTACTTGACTTGACCTTGTGCAGTTATTGTTTCCATTTACACAAAGTCATTCAGACGTCTGTTTTCTCACCTGGGAGGTGCATTGTATTCTGATCCACAGGGTGTTGCTCAGGTCATGATTCAGTCTTTTCAGTTGTCATCTTGTGCAGTGTTCAACGCCCAAATGCAGGACGTAAGTCCGCGTGCTGTGGGAGGTGCCTTCTGTTTTACTTGTGCCTTCTTTGACTCACATGTGCCTTTCATTGTTAACTTCATTGACTCAATTATAGAATATTGAGAGCTGATGCCAATAATAACAGTAATAATAGTTTGGCACGAACTTAGTATTAACAGTGTTCTTCCGAGTTTTTACATCTGGTTCTCACTGGCACCATCCTCACGTAGGGATGGAGTATATTCTTTCTCCAGATGCAGTAAGTGGGCTTGTGATCTGCTCCAGACCCGTGGTCTCTATGGCATCAGCAGAAAAGCTGGAAGCAGAACACTTGCAGTGAAGGGCTCTATTTTTCTGCCTCCCCGCCATAGATTTTAAACTTGAAATTTTCATGATTTTTAAGAAACGTAAAATATCTTCCTGGTAGAGTTTTATAAACTTTGCACATGTGAGAAATTGAATGCTGTGATTAGATTTTTACCTGTGTGTGAAGTGACATTTTGATTACATATAATTTTAGATGTCTTAATTATGGATATGGTCAGAAAAGCCATGGTAAAAGTAGTGATTTTACTTTGGTTTAATTTGTCCCCATTTATTTAAATTGTCAGTAGTAAATATTGAGGTGTTGTTATTTCCATTGTAGTTTGAAATTATGTCTGAAATTCCAAACTGTATTCCTTCTTACAGTTACCAATATAACATGGTAATTTTTGTTTGTGATATTTGATATAAACTATTTGATTTCAGCCATTTCTGGTTCCCGCATTTCCAAATTAGATTTAAAAAGCAATTGGCAGATACTTTTTTTAAACAAGAAATTATGATTTATAATCTTTTCTGATCATTACCATTGTTGAATAAATCTGTTGAGTAAGTGATCAATTTTCATACAAATAGTTCAACTTGTCATAACCTTTTCTGATAGTTTTTTGAATGCAGATCTGCAGTTTTAATACTGACAGTTAGTTAACTGATATGATAAAATTACTTACTAGAATTTGAATTTGTACTTTTAAAGGTCATTGACTTCATAGTGTATGAGGCCATTTTTATTTATTTATTAAAATATTTATTTATTTATTTATTTAATCTATCATGTATACAATATTCTGTCTGTGTATATGTCTGCAGGCCAGAAGAGGGCACCAGACCTCATTACAGATGGTTGTGAGCCACCATGTGGTTGCCGGGAATTGAACTCAGGACCTTTGGGAGAGCATGCAATACTCTTAACCACTGAGCCATCTCTCCAGCCCCATATGAGGCCATTTTTAGAAATGACTTTTGGCTTTCTTAGTTTGGGTTCTTTCGTTGTTCGTTTTTGTGACTTCTACTGATAAGCACATAGGTATTTTTAAAGGCAGAATGTAATCCATGCAGACTTTTTAGAATGTGAAATTTCTCTTAGTTTCTGTTCCTAAGAGCAATTTCTACTAACAAATTCCATTGTGAATATATTGTATTTGCCTTTTGAGGTTGAGAAATTTAATGAATGGGCAATAATATTAAAATCACATTCATTTGAAGTAAAAAAGTATATTAATTTGTGTATAAGAGTCTTTTTCAGGTAATTAATTTACATTAATTTAACTTTAATATAAACTATTTGTGTGGTGCCCACCAATTATATAGTCATTTAAACTCTGCTTGCTTGTTCAGCTGTGTGGCAACCGTGTTTCTTGCTAGCTCCTGTCAGGAAGCATTCCCACACTAGTCTATCACTGCCTACTGACTCTGACTTGTTGAGCCCTAGTTTGTGTTCTGGGGCTGTTTTTATTGATTTTAGTTGCACTGTACCTAGCAGTCCCGGCATGTACTGAGTACCTCAAGAAACTTCTCTTTGAACTGAACTCCCACCTTGTGTAATCCAAATCTTAAGGACAGTGACATACCCAGAAATGGCATGGACAGAAATCATATGCACTTAGTGGCATAGCTTCTATTTACCTTCTTTTGTTTCACATATTTATCGGCTTGAGTTTATACTTTTGATATTTGACTTCTGAGTCTAAATATAAAGTCGACATATATACTAGTTAAAGCTGTTTGCACAGATATTTTAAAAATCTATGATGTAACCCAATGATAAAATTTTTAACCACAAGAAACTCTTAACTGTATCTCCAGGTTAAACATTTATTGAACAGCGTTGCAAGTAGAAACTTTGTATCTGAGGTTAAAAGGAACAGTATTTTTATTACAAATGTTTGCTGTAGGAAAAAGAGGAGTGTAGGTCGCCTTATTTAACTGCTTAAAAGGTGGCATGGAGATGTCGCATCTCTTGAGTAAAATATAAAAGACTTTTTTATTCTAGATGGATAAATAAATAGGTTTTTGTTGGTTTGTTTTTGAGATATGGTTTCTATGTATAGCAGCCCTGGCTGTTCTGGAACTCATTCTGTAGACCAGGCTGTCCCCAAACTAACAGAGATCTCCCTGCCTCTGCCTCCCAGGTACTGGGATTAAATGGGTGTGCTACCACTGCCTACTACTAGTTGTATTTGATAGTGACTGTTCACTGGCCTTTCTTTCTGCTCTGTGTATTTGGATTTATAGTAAAACATACATGATTATGCAGATGAAATGATGGTAACATTTGCAGCTCCACATTACTCCCTCACCACAGCCTGAAATGACCAACTCCAGAGGCACTGCCATAGGTCAACTCTTAGAGGAGCTCTCTTGGCCTGTGTGCACTAAGGACCAGGCTGGAAATGGTCCAGATCTTGTCTGACTCTGTTGAAGTCCCAAAGAACAGTTTTGAATAGAGCTAGGCCTTGACTGTTCACTGGATCATAAGAGAAAAGGACTGTAGTTAAGTGTTGTTTCAGCCCTAAAATATAAACCTAAAGATTTTATTTGTATATCCTTTGAACTAAACACTTTCTTCTGTTACTGCCAAAGGGGGATAGAGATGCATACATTTTTAATTTAATTTAATTTGTGCCTTTTTAAAAGCACAAATTTGGCAAATGGTAGGCATTCAACAAATATTTATTAAGTGAATTAGTGAGTCTCAAATGTGTTGATAGAATGCCTTCATTGTAAGAATTTTGTGTGTCGATTCATAGTGTCACTTTCCTAGCCCTAACTTAAATCTCCCTAGCCGTGCATTGTGTCTCACTACGTCTCCAGACTGGTGTTCTTTTAGGCACATGCTATAGACGCTGAGCACTGTCCTCCACTGTTAGTTCAGGCAAAGTCTTTCTACCTGTCTGTTTCTTAGAAAAATAGGGTTAAACATTGTGATGATTTTTTTTTAGTTGCCTCTATTCTTAAAAGGAATTTCTTACTTACTTTTGCTTTAGTTATACCATAGTGGAGCAAATGGTCAGCTTCAGAAGTTATAATTTGTTATTTTTCCAAAGCTGTTAATGAAAAAGAACATTTTAATTGTGAATGGATGTGTACTTTTTATGTGTATCATTCTTAATAATGAATAGATGTTGTACATTCTAACACATTTCTAGATTTGGGTGACCAGTACATTTGTGCTGTATCTGTACAATATAATTTTAGTGATTTTTAAAACCACACCAGCTTTATAAACTTCACTTAGCAATCTTCATAAGCACCAGAGATGCAGCTCAGTGCTAGAGTACTTGTCCTGCATGTACAAGGCCCTGGTTCAGTCTCCATCACTCTTCCCCTGCAGAGAGGAAGAAGCTTCACTAACCACTAATACATAAGCACTAGATAACTGAATGTTTAATTTAGTAGATATGTATTAACAGATGGTTAACTGTGTCTGTTAGGAACAAGAATTTGTTCAGAAGCAGCAACAAGAATTAGATGGCTCTCTGAAAAAGATCATCCAACAACAGAAGGCAGAGTTGGCCAATATCGAGAGAGAGTGCTTGAATAACAAGCAACAGCTCATGAGAGGTATGTGAGAGTCCACACTGTGTTTGTACACAACAAAAATGTCTCAGACATTGCCTGAGGTGTGCATTGCAGAGTATCGAGTGCTTTTTCTTTGCTGGGGTGGCCAAGGAAAAGATAAAATAAGAGGTTCTCTTTTTTAAAGTTGAGAAATATTGTGAGATATAGCAGAAGTGTCTCTAAAAGTACACTTAAAACATGGACCGGAATGCCGGGCGATGGTGGCGAACGCCTTTAATCCCAGCACTCGGAAGGCAGAGGCAGGCGGATCTCTGTGAGTTCGAGACCAGCCTGGTCTACAGAGCTAGTTCCAGGACAGGCTCCAAAGCCACAGAGAAACCCTGTCTTGAAAAACCAAAAAAAAAAAAAAAAAAAAAAAAAAAAAAAAAATGGACTGGAGATGCAGCTTAGTGGTAGAATATGTACTTAGTGTGTACATGGAGCCCCGGATATAGGGGCCTGGCTCAATTCTCAGCACTTCAAAAACAACCCCACCCCCAAAAAAACAAATTACCCTACCTAAAAATTAAAATATTTAATCTATCTGAATATAATAACATAGTGAGAAGATGATAGGATGTGATTTTAAGCTCTTATTCCTCCTAACAGACTGATTTCTTTCTTTCTTTTTAAGGTGGGATTTTGGCATTCCTAGTAGGACATTCTTAGTTTAGGGCATTAAAACAAAAAATGATAATAAATGCTATTTTGCATTGATAGCCTTTTATTTATACCTTAGAATATCTATTTGTGTAAATTAATATATAAAATTCTTTGCTGTAAGTATTAAAATGAAGAGCATTGGACATTAGTTCAAAGAACTAAGTGACATTTTGAAAACCACTTCCTTGCAGCTCGAGAAGCTGCGATTTGGGAGCTTGAAGAGCGACACTTACAGGAAAAGCACCAGCTGCTTAAACAGCAGCTTAAGGATCAGTATTTCATGCAGAGACACCAGCTGCTTAAACGCCATGAGAAGGTGAACGAAAGGGAAATTTCTTCAGTTGTTTGTTTGTTTTACTTTACAAAGTTATTCAGTTTTGTAGCTTAATTTCTTAGAGAATAGATTCTTTGCTTTATTTTTTTTACCTTAAATTTTTTTGAGTTTGAGTTCTTGATTATAATCTTTATGTTGATTGTAAACTTTTCTATCAATTACAGTGTTTTAAAGACCTTATAAATGGTCATATTCATCTTGTGTCTTTTTGGTTCCAATGTGATTCAAGTATCTTAGTAACATTTCTTTCCTGAACACTGCTGTCATTAATAACTTTCCTATAAGTTATTTTTGCCTAATATTTTGTTGTTCATTGTACAGCTAGAGGGTACCTATGAGAAACAGTAACAGATGCCATCTTGGAACATGTCTGTGGGTGCTGAGAGTTAGGTTGTATCTGCAACTGTTCAAGTCTGTTTAAATCTTCTTAGGAAACAGAACAAATGCAACGTTATAATCAACGGCTTATTGAGGAATTGAAAAACAGACAGACTCAGGAACGAGCGAGACTGCCCAAGATTCAACGAAGTGAAGCCAAGACACGAATGGCCATGTTTAAGAAAAGTCTAAGAATTAACTCAACAGCCACACCAGATCAGGATCGTGAAAAAATTAAACAGGTACTTAAGAGATAATTCTCTTCTTTTTCAGGGTTTAACAAAGTTGAATGACCTTTAAAAGTACCTCATAATTGGGTTTAGACATTTAGTCTCACCTCGGGATTGTTATTTTAACTTTCTGGGATGGGGCAGGGTGCTTGTTATGTACCAACTTAGTCTTCCCTGTTTGGGACCATAGAGGGCAAAATCATCTCTCCCTGGACAGTTCTTAGACCATGGGAGTGAGATAACTTGGACAACTTTGAAGTAGGAACCATGTCCGGCTGTGGCACTTCTGCGGCAGCAAATGATCTTCTGCTACTGGAGATCATTAAGCCATTAGAGCATGGAGGCCTTAGACCAGAGGTCATTTCCTCTCCCTTTACCTAGGTCTTAGAGGTTTGAGTTACAGCGTAGGATTACAGCTTTAGTTTACTGTTTTTTAAGCTTTGTTAAATTGATTAATTATACTCTAGAGTATGTACAGATTACCCTGCTTCCTATCTAAATTATTTTTTGTTTTTCTTATTTATAGTTTGCTGCACAAGAAGAAAAGAGGCAGAAAAATGAGAGAATGGCTCAGCATCAAAAACATGAGAGCCAAATGCGGGATCTCCAGTTGCAGTGTGAAGCCAATGTCCGAGAACTACATCAGCTGCAGGTTAGGTTCTGGAGCCTGACAACGGAATGCATGGTGGCCGGGTAGCTAATACCACTGATGTGGAGAAAATAGACTAACCAGAGTCTGCTGCGTAGGAAAGGGACAGAGCATTGAATTCCTGGCTGCTGTATGGGCTCAAGGGAGAGCCGTGCAGTGCTGTGGACCCTTGTTTTTATTCCATGTGATTAAGGTGAATGTAAGCATGAGCTAAATTAAAACCTGAGAAAGAATCATCAAATATGCTTTTTATTATTAAATCATGGTGTGTTTAAGATTCTGAATTTATTTATTTTTTAATTTAAAAGGATTTGGCTGATTTTTTTTTCTGGTTTTGAGAAAAAAAAAGGTAAACATTGGGAAATTTTTTCAGTAGGAAATTAGACCTTAGAGAGGACTGTTTTTGGAATTCATTTGAAATGCACAGTCCATCTAGTGAGTGCCCAAATGTTTACACTTTCAGAGGTAACTTTGATATTCTGTATACTTGGTTAATTTACTGGAGTAGAATACTTACTAATTCTAAATCTTTTACCAACTGGAAAAGCAAAAGCCCAATGTATTTCTACTTAAGTTCTTTTTTATATATGATATTTAGGGGTTTTTTTGCAAGAAGATATAAAAGTTTCAAAAACAGTGAAGGTATTTATACACTTATAAAACAGATGATTTCATAACCTTTGGCACTTAGTTTTTAAAGGAGAATTTGAGCTTCCATAACAGCATGATATCTAATCAACAATTTGCTACTTTGGAGGAACATATATCTGTTAAAAATTGCTCCATTGACCTGAAAAAAACTTCAATACCAACTTTATTTTCAGAATGAAAAATGCCACCTGTTGGTTGAACATGAGACTCAGAAACTGAAGGAGTTAGATGAGGAGCACAGCCAAGAGTTAAAGGAGTGGAGAGAGAGACTGAGACCGAGGAAGAAGGTGATTTAAAAGCTGTCCTACAGCGCTGTGTGTGGTTCACCCATTCCCTGCCTACTGGTTCTGTACTTTCTTTGTATCAGGTGCAGTGACATGATGGATACGGAGATGAAAAGACGATATCCCTATTCCCAAAGTCCAGGATCTGTGGGAAGTGATTCCAAGTTGGGGGGACCCTTGCTGGGGATAGGTTAGAGCATGACGCAGGGGAGCAGAGTGCATGAGCACAGGAGAAGGAGGGCTGAAATCTCTGTGAGGAGGCCTAAGAGGTAAAAACTGGGTGGGCTTTGAACCATTAATAAAACTTGCAGGCAGGTGGGTAGATTGGAAAGGAATGGGACAAGCAGAGAAAGTAGAATGAGCAAAAATACTGCTTGTGGAAAATTACGAATATTTCTTTCCCCTTGCAGAGTAGTCGGGGAGGAGTGCAGGAAGAAAGCAGTCAGGGCTGAGTCTATCCGGTGCAGCTGAAGCTACAGTAGCACAGCTCTTGAATTAACTTCAGATACAAAGCATAAGAATGGCTTATTTCCTCTTTTCTTCCATTTCTCTTGTTTGTAACCAGTTTCCCTGCTGGCCTGATTTCATGAATTAACCACTGTATCTCTGGCTGTTACTCTATTGTCCACTTCCCTTTGTTAACCCTTAAGACATCAACATTTCTTTTTGTGAGCTTTCTTCCCGCTGTACATCTCAGTGATGGTGGGACATGCCTCAGGTCCAAGGTCCTCCTCAGTTACATGATGAATTTGAGGTTAGCCTGGGCTACATGAAACCCAGTCTGAAAAAGAAGGAGAAAAAACAAGTTAAAAGAGGTGATGTCCATATAGCAGGGTCTCGGCACTTGAGGCCATAGGTGGTTATATTGCTGTGGCTGTTCATTAGTGCCATGACTATTGCTATTCTGAATCAGGGTTTGCTTGTATCCCATGTTGGCCTCAAGCTTGCTGTGTTCCTGCCTTAGTCTCCCGGGCACTGAGACTACAGGCATGCCCACTACATCCAGCTCATTGGTTTCCTTACTGTCAGCTTGAACTTTTCACTCATTTCATTTTCTTGGTGTTCTCGTCTTCCTTATTTCATCTAGGCCTCTTTTTCAGTGTCATTGTATCTCTGAGGTCCTTGTTTCTTCACTTGATTCCCATCTCAAATATTCTTTATCCTGGCTTATTTATTTTTTGTTGTTATAGTCTTCGTCACCAGATATATTTCTTGTCTTATTTCATGAGAATATAAGCTGCTTAGAAAGCAGGGAATTTCTCTCTTTTTTCACTGACCTGTATCTTTATATATCTCTGTTTGGATTTTCTGCCTGGCTTTATTCTGTCCTGCCATAGGCTGAAGCAACTTCTTTATTAACCAATGGTAATAAACATATTCATAGCGTACAGAGGGGAATTCCACAGCAAGTATTTTTGCTGCGTATTGTAGGGCTATAAGATGAGTATAGATTAGATCTTAGGTTTATATGGCTTGTAGTTCAGTGCAGAAGAAAACTATGTATGTCAGTAACTGACACAAAAAGTAGGTGACAGTTACTAATAGTTGTCACTTGCTATGTTTGATGTTTACATGGCATGCTAACAAGGTAAGTTAGGCAGTGCCTTTCTTCTATAGCAGAGGACTAACTGAACTGAATCTTGAACCTGCAACCGTGGGAAGCATGTGGTCTTAACTATTGAATAAAATGTTTGGGGTTAGTAGGTTTAATCTTGGCTATCAGAGTAAATCCTGATTTCCATGTACAGTGTAAAGCAGTGCATAATTGTTTGTCTCTTCTTTTTTAAGACACTGGAAGAAGAGTTTGCCAGGAAACTGCAGGAGCAGGAAGTGTTTTTTAAGATGACTGGGGAGTCCGAATGTCTTAATCCATCAGCACAGAGCCGTATCTCCAAATTCTACCCTATTCCCACCTTGCATTCCACTGGGTCATAGCGACAGCAAGCATTCTCTGTCTGGATTTGGCTTCTAAGTGCATCCTTATGTTCTCTTCATCTTCCACAGCACGTGACTCACAAAGACAATCACCTGTCCATCTTCTCGGTGGTTTTGAGAATTGGTTTCTTGGACTTTTTTTTTTTTTGTTAAGCAAACAAAGATGAAGGGCAAATGAACTAAGACAGATGCTGGGCCATGTTGGCAAGTAGCATCTTGCAGTAATTCCCTAAGGTGATTTTGTATATTGACCTTAAATATTGTATTCTTTAGACATAGTTCTGAAAAACTGCCAGAGAAATGTTTAAAGTTATTTGGGGAAAAAAAAACCAAACCTGTTACATCACTAAGTATTAATAAATATTGTTTTACTTGATTTCTCAATGATGCTAAATTCTATAGTTAAGATTATGCTGTAGAATTGGAGTGATTTTCTTTTGGTAAACCAACTATTACTAAAAAGCCATGAGCTACAGAAATATGTTTATTGATTCAATACATAGATATATTTTTTATCATTAAGCAGGATCAAAGTCTTTTAAAAGAGAATGGTTATTTCAGTAATTTGTCACAAACATTAGCCTGTGTGGGCAGGAACAATAATGAGGTGCTAATTTTATTAAGATAGTGCCTAAAACACTAAATTTTAATCATATATAAAATGGGGTTTTCATTTTGATCAGCAGGAACAAAATACCCTTCTCACTGGTGGACATTACTGTTTTAAAAACGTGTTTTTATTGCCATTTAATATTCATCCTAAAACAAAGGTTGTACAAAGTATGGAAAGGTGAATGAACTAGCTTTAAAATGTGCAGATTGAACTTAACAGAGCTCACCATACTGTCATATCAGACCGAGCTCGCCCACGTCAGAAGCCTCCGTCTCAGAAGTTCTATTTCTCAATGACGCTTAGGGGCCTCTGTGCCCCTAGCTTCAGTCACAACTGCAGTTCTGAAGCTAGTCTTAGAAGAAGCGTTGTCCACAAAGGATTTTCATTCAGTATCAGACACACATGCAAAGTGACATTGTAAGGTTTCAAATGAGGTTACTCAAGTGCATTTCGGTTTTATTTTGTTCCATGTTTTAAATTAATTTCTTTGAGTCGGAAAAGCCTTTATCATGTGGCTGCTGGTACATGTGCTCATTAATGAAGTGTTCGTTCTTGGTTCCTTCTGAAGCTCAGAATCTCAGCCGCGTCAGGTCAACAGTATTATAAACTGCACTTTTGTGAATGATGCTTGCTGCCTGCCATTGGCAACCTGTTCTCTTCTAAGAGTGCTAGGTACCAAACTGTAAACGTTTCAGTTTTTAGTTATATTTTGAGGTTGGTGGAAAAATAGAACTGTCAATGTAATGTGGAAACACCAGTTCATTTAAGGAAATGTCGATGTCTGTAGTACTTTGTTGCCGTTTATTTGAAAACTTTGGATGCTGGACTTTATCTGGTTTAAAAATGCATGTGTAATTTTAACTTTATAATTATTTTGACAAGCTTAATTTTCTTGGACAACCTTGTAGGTAGCCTTAACTTTCAGCCAATTTTGTTTTTATATAAATATATATACGTATATATTATAATGTATGGTTGTAAATTCATACACTTAGCACATGAATATGTTCCTGTATACAGAATTCTTAATGCTTTATTTTCAGATGCTGGGTTAAAAACTGTTTGAAAGCCTTTAAATATATCTTTATAAAGTATGATGGAGATTGTTTATATTGTTATGATAAAAGACAGAATTATGTTGCCCAGTGTATTTAATGATTTATTTGAAGAGGGAGAGGGGAGGAAAGCTCTTATACACCACTTTCTCTTTTGAGTTTTTCAGCTTATTGGATTTTTACAAATGAATACTCCAGTCAATGGGCTTTATTTTCAGTATCATTTAGGTAATTGTAGACATGATTTGGTCTGAGTATCTTTCCTTCCTGTTTCTATTCAGCTTGACATTTAGAGCATTGTATCTGGAAAGCAGGCTGGAGGGGTTGTCTACCTGAAGCCTGCTCTCTGGATTCCCTGTTCCTCCTTGAGTTTTCCTGTGGGTGCAGGGACTGCCCTGTGGTACACTTGTAGAGGGGGCACTCCTCTCCACACTTCAGGTTATATATAGAAAGTGTTTTGTTACAGAACATGCTGTTTCTAAACTTGTGCTTCCTTTAAGACCATATGCCAGTAGATAACAGTGATCATTCTTTGCTGGGTGATGTATAGGTGGGGAGTGGCTGAGGGCATCGCCTTCTTTGAATCTGAGAGTGCAGTCAGTCCATCTGCTGATGAAGTTGTTTGGTTGCTGTGGCAGAATGCCCCATTCAGCGTATAAAGGAAATTCTCCATGCAGTTGCCTCCCCTTTCCCTGCATGCTTTGGCCACACCACACCTCCACCCACCACACTTCTGCAGGTCCAGCTCCTAGAGCTCAAGCGCAGGGTTTCTGCAGACCTGTTGACCCCCAGGCTGTGGTTTGCTGAATTAGCTGCTGTTTTAGTTGGAGTCACAGTAAGCTCTTTCTTACCCTTTTCTGTGGGTGAGGAGCAAATTTAGAGTGCTTTTATTTTGTTGAAAATATTGGAACCTTCCCACATGCCAGGACATGGCAGATTATAACTAAGTAAGAAGCAGAACCGGAGCTACCTCTAAGCAGTGTTTCTCAAGCACACGCTCTCAGGCACGTGAGACCTTCCCCGTGGAGGCTTCTCTGATTTCTTGAGCATCAGCACGTCTCAGAAGTAACTTTTTTTGTGCTCTTCCAGGTCCCCTGTACCCTCATACTTTCCCCTTCCACACTGTGCTAATTATATGACAGAGACTCTTCTAAGAAGCCAAATTCGGCCAAATTAATAGCTAGAGATACTGCAGACCGCCCGGCATGGGAACTGCAGTTGAAGAGGTGTCAGTTTTAACGGCCTTCTGGTTCTTTCGGGAAATGGTCTTGTAGGACACGGGTGATATTTTCAGTGTGTCTCTTACATCAGAGGCAACAGTTAATGCCTCTGCTGTTGCTGTTCTTTGGCTGACGTAGTTTTAATAATGCTTTAAAATTTCTGCTACAAAGCTTGGAATAGAGTTGACCAGTTTCAAATGTTGGCTGCAGCTTAAAAATGTGATTCTTTGCAGTGTAATAAGTTCACAGGCTAAATTTTCGAAGAGAATTTCATTTCACGTTATGCTTCTTGTATATTTGGAATTAGAAACATGCCTTTTCAATCACGGGATTGTCAAACAATAAAGTTATTTCTTAATCTATTTTGGGAAACTTTTTTTTTAAATTAAAAGAGAATCTTAGGAATGAGATTGTCCTGCTGAGACACTTTGCAGGTCTGTCCCCCCTGCCTTTTTGGTCCTACTTAACATTTTTTAAACTTGCACTTTTCTTAGTCTTCTGACATTCTGCGTTTATCATCGATCCTAGTCATCTGTGGTAGTCTCTCCCTCCTGACAAATGTAATTTTTAACTTGCTGATAAGTACTTTCCAATATGCAGACTCCTCTGGGAGGAACTTCCAATGTCTGTGTTCACATAAAGTCTGTGTGTGCTTTAATTTCCTTTTATTGGGATAGAGTATTTGTTTCACCAAGTGTTTCAAATGCAATGAAAAAAATCATATGCTAAAAAGCATTCTTGTTATTTGTCAATTGATTTGTTCAGCACCACTCAGTGGACACTGGCAACCCTGCTTGGCATGTGTGCAGCTTGGCTAGAGGGAGGCTGTGATGTCATTTTCTAATCTCAGCGCTGTGCACTACTGAGCTCATTCCTGACCACTGCCCCCTTTCCCAGTGAAACAAGAGGCTCAGATGCACTGCTGTCCAGCTGAAGTGTGGCTTGTGTGTGTCGGTCCTCTGGGTTTTGTCTGAAGAAAGCTGCACAGTTGGGACTTCCCTCCCATTTCTTCTGAGTGTAGAACTCTGTGAAGACTTGAGTGTCTTCGTAAAATCTAATAACAAGGGGACATTTCCTAGGTCTGATTAATCACGGTAGCAATCATTAACATGTAATACTTGAGCCCCAAAGTAAAAAGTACTGTTTCAAAAGGTCTTCATTATGAAACTGATAAATTCTTTAAAAATTAAAAGATACATTGCATTCATTGTTATCCACAATAGGTATTGTTCCCTGTGGGTGATAAAGCAAGTTATCTGAAATTGTGAAGGCTATATGAATTCATGTGCAGAGATCCCATGTTGATTCTTACGGGTAGCCACCAGGCCAGAAGACCACGCAACGTTCTGATGATGTGCTTGCATTGGTGCTGCTGCAGCTGCTTGTGGGAGTGAAACTAAATCGTGTCCTTTCTCTAGGATATGTAAAATATTCAGGAGAGAGCATAGAAAAGTAAGGAAAGTCATCCCAGAACTTCGGAGGCAGAGGCAGGCAGATCTCTGAGTTTGAGGACAGCCTGGTCTACACAGAGATGCAGAAGTGAATTTATGTTAATCCCATGCTTGACTACCCAGCAATTGAGAGACACAGCTTGTAACAAATTAATAAATTGCCATTGCCCAAGTGCAGGCTCTTCTGATATTACCATGCATTTCTTTGGGGTGTCTGATATGTGTACATTTTCCTTAGTAGACATTTTTGTTGTTTATATATCTGGCCTCCAGTCATGCATTAATTGCAAAGAAGCTTGCCAATTTGTTGTGCAAGTGTTTCTATTTCAAGGAACTTAGAAAAAACAAACTTCTTTGTCTGGTGTGTCCAGGTTGAGCTAGTAGCTTCAGATAAAAGTCTGCTTTAGAGCTCTCAGGGATAAAATTTTAAAAGGCAGGGCCTAAAATGTAACCAGTCTTCTCTGCTAATATTTGTAATAAACAGCATTAGAGTCAGACCCAGGTAACCCAGATTCTTTTTTTTTAAACTTTCCTTTTCACATGATTCATAAAAATACTAAAAAAGAAAAAAAAACTTTAATTGAAAATTTTACAATTGAAATGATTTTTCATCTTACAGCTTACATACAAATACTTTTAGACAGTGAAAAGTGCTTAAAAACCAGCTGCACCCATGCCCTTTCCTATGGGCAGAACGGGGTATGGAGGCCATGTTTCCCTTCCTTGTCTGCTGCCCCTCCTGTGCTGTCCGCTGTGGTCTAGTGTGGTGTCATACCGTGACTTCCGGCATGCACAGGGACACAGGCCATAGCTCCAGTGGGAGGTGGTTGGCATCTCTGCTGTGATAACTATCCTTGAAGGAGGGGAACTTCTGGAGAGTGCAGAGTGAGCAGGGAAGGAACTGGAAGCACAGCCTTGGTAACAGTGACCAGAAACCATCAAGTGTCACCCCCGCCAAGGCCCCCCGTTCCCGTTTTCCATTTTTCTGGGCTCATTTTTTAGGCAAAGCTCCAAGACTCCCCACCCAACATTTATGTACCTGGCTTCTGAGGTTTAGGCCTGAGTTAAGAAGCCAGGAAGCTAAAGAAGCCAGGGAGCTCAGATCTATATAGCAGAGAGGTTAAATCTCATATTAAATTTTGCAGCTATTCTGAAGGCCCACCCAATCAATGAAGCTGTTTCCAACTGTGTGTCTTTGAACTTTCTGTATGCATATATTTTGTTCCAACTAGAACAAGTGTTGCTAGGTGACTTGGTCTCAACAAGATGTGAACCAGTTCCAGTTTTCACCCACAGGGGATACTTGGACACAGACACCCGAGCATATTTCAAGAACTGGTCCAAGAACTCAGTGGTTCTGCCAAGTGCAACTTATGGCTTGACGGCAATACTTCTCCTCCTCCTCCCAGTGTAGACTTGGTCGCCTGAAAGTCCAAAGATGAGTAGGGGTTAAATATGTCATGACCTATGAGGACCAGTGATACAAACAATGATGGCTAAAAGTGGCTTGAATAGTTAATCCTTTGTAAAACAACTTATTTTCAAGCTATTTGCCCTATTTTGTTGCCAGGTTCTTTCTCACTCTGTGGCAGCTCTGGTCTTCCTCCTCCGCTGTGCTAAATACCTTTTTATGCATAAGTTTTTGTTTGAATTTCTCAGACTAGCTTGGAAGCAAATTACTTTTTCTCCGCTGAGCCCCAGAACCTCGGAAGCCACAAGATTCGGACTTACCCTTGTCTCCTTTCTCTCCTTTTTGCCCTCGAGGGCCAGGTGGCCCAGGAGGACCTCGTTGCCCAGCAAGGCCCCTGTCACCTAGAAGCACAGAGAAGATGTGACATGTATGAATACAAGGCTAAAGGTGTGGCACAGTGTGGTACCAGCAAAGGTGCTGCTACTACTCAGTAAGAGGTGGTCATTACATACAATTCCCGTTGCCACTTACCTTTGGGTCCTGGGGCGCCCGCCTCTCCCTTTTGCCCAGGTGGGCCTGGAATAGCTCCGTAAGCTGCAAGGAAGGAAAGAATCTGGTTTTAGACTAGAGGTTGCCAGAGGTTTGGGAGGTCGAGCCGTTTGTTCAGAGCGACACAGATAGTGGAATCTGGGCTTGTACAGGGAAGTGGAGCTGGCTTCATGGTTCTGGAATCTCAGCTATGGGGAGAAGGAGGCATTTGTGTGTCCGGTCCCTTGTGAGACTAAGCAGCAGGCTGGGGAGACTAAGCTGGGGAAGCCGTGAGGGCATGCTTACTCCGGAAGAAGTCCATGAGGTCCTGTGTCACATTGCTGTAGGCAGAGAAGACCTTGCTGATGCCAGGAGGGCCCTGGGGCCCAGGCACACCTGGTGGGCCCTGGACAGTGTAGGCCATCCCTTGTAGCAGGCCTTGACCTGCAGAACACCAGAATGCAGGTGTAGGAAGCAGATACCACTGCACAGTGGTAAGCTGCAGCAGAAGGGTAGTATCCTCAGACAGCCTCGCTCAAAGCAGCTAAACCTGAGCAAACTGCCTTGAGGAAGAAGCCCTGCAGCTTCCTTCTCTGTTCTTGGAGACTGGCCTAGCCTGTTGTTACATTCCTCGGGGGCATTTGACCCACAGACCTGTGCTGATAACTAGAGAGAGAAAGGACTTCTTGGCTAACAACCGACAAGTTGCATCTCTGTTACTGTCAGACTTGCTCTGAGCAGACTACCAAGCCCTTTGGTGTGCCCTGTTCCCCCACAGCTCGGGTGTCAGTACCAGGGTTCCTTGCACTGAGATGGTGGAGACTTAGGATGAAGTCTCCTCTCTTTCGATCGCTGCTCATCTGATTCTAGTTTCTATCTCCACATTCATTAAAAACAAGGGCCAGTTTGTGAGGACTATGTGCCAAGAAGCACTCATGCTCCTCCCCCTCTGAGGTCCAAGGGTTCCAACTTACGCTGCATGCTCTCAGACACTCGCACTGCCAGCTTGTTATAATCCAGGTCTCCAGTGAAGCCATCCCGGAACGAATCACCATTGGTGCCATATATGCCACCTGCAGCTGCCCCATAACCTCCGCCTGGGCCGATATCGGTACCATAGGGACCCCCGTCTCCTGCACCAAAGGCTCCACCCTCGCCCAGGGAGCCTCCATTGGCTCCCCCTATTCCTGTGGAAGAGCTGTAGGAAGTGCCTCGTCTGGCAGAGGAGCTGCTACCCCAGCTGTAGTTCTCTCTTAAGTGACCATTTCCAGGTGGTCCCTGGGGCCCTGGAGGGCCTGGAGGGCCAATGATGAAGCTACGGACATCAGGACCTGTGGGGTAGGAAGATGCGTTAGCCCAGATTGCGATGGACAAAAGACTTGGGAGCTAGGGGGTCTCTGGAGTTTGAATAAAATTTCTTAGTGACAGAGTGCATGTACAGAAGAATGCAGCTGAGTAGAGAAACTGGTTTGTCTGCACTGCTGACAATCTCTGCCTACTGCGCCACTTAAAGGAGTAATGAAGTGTAGAGATGGGGGTATAGGAGGCGACCAATGTCAAGGCACCTACTTGTGAGGTAGTTAATCAGCTCGCTGCGGAAGTTGTCGCTGTTTTCAGCTGCATAGGTAGCCAGAGCTGCTGAGACACCTGGGGGCCCTCGAGGCCCTGGGGGTCCAGGAGGGCCTGGAGGGCCTGCGATGGAGGACAAGCCAGCAGCTGGGTGGGAGGAGAGGGAATGAGGAAGGTCAGGGTCCTGGGCAGAGACAACTAGATGCTCAGTTTTCCCTTGGCCTACTGTGGGCCCTCCATGGATGGAGGGAAGGAGATGGGAAGGGAGGGTGGAGTAAAGGAGGGTGTGGGATGCTTACTGGGCCCCTTGCATGCAGGAGGAGAAAGGACCAGGTGTCTCCTTTCTGACATCATTTGGGGATGGCTGCTTCCAAGGAGCCCTTCTACCCCACAACCCACATCC